ATTTTACAGATGAGGAAACTGAGGCTTGGGGCTGAGAAAATTGGTTCTGATACTCAGTGACTGTGGCACAGAGCGCTCACGGGGTCCTTGGCCACCTTTGGAAGCACATTGCTCATGTTGGCTTGTTGATTTCCCTCTGAAGCATGAAGTTCGGGACAGCTATTGTCACCCTTTACAGAGGTGGCACAGGGACGTTCTATGAAGGCTCAGGGCAGAGCTGAGATTTGGACCTCAGCAGTCTGGCTACTAACAGTGTCTTCCCATGATGCTTTTCCCCGGGTATGACTCCCCAGGCTGGGTGACAGACTACACACTTCTGGAGGCTGAATGTCCAAGGTTGGGTTCTGTGGTGGGGCTCTGCCTGTCTTGTACATGCCTGCTCACTGTGTCCTCAATGTGAGACAGACCACTCCCTAGGGTCTCTTTGGAGAGCATTGATTCCCCCATGGCAGCCCCAATTTTTTTGTGATGTTTGGTGTGAAACCGAGGGCCTTGTGTATATCAGACAAGCACTTGATCCCTGAGCTGCAGCCCCAGCCCTGGGGGCCTCATCTTCAAATGTCATCACATGAGGGAAGGGGGTCAGGGTTCAACATATGAATTTGGGGATCAGACCTAGTATAGTCCATGGTGAGGACTGTCAGGGGAAGGGTTTGACTGAGTGGATGAATCAGGTATAGAGGCTGTGTGTAGCATGATCTTGCACACACGTGTGTGCACACACTTACACCCCTTGCTGGCTGCTCCAGGCATCCCTTGAGTTATAGCTATCAGGGCAGGGCCTGTAGCTCATTCAGGAAGACTTATGATTCTTGGATCCTGTGGCCCTTCTTTCCAGTGAATCAGGAAGGTAGGAGAGAGGCAGGTATTTTGTGGGAATTGGAAGACTTGAAACACCCAGGACAGAAACGCAGGTTTGGCAGCAGAGAACATGATGTAGCCAGAGTATCTGCTAATAGGAGGTGGGCTTTGGAAGTATGTGGACATGCGTATAGGGGTGTTGGGGACTGTGTTGTAAATAGGTTGTGGCACATATGGGAGGACACAGAAAGATCCAGAAGGTGAACTTATGGGAAGGTCAGAAACTATCTAGTGAACTGACATTGGAAGGCAAGGTCTGTTGAAGCCAAGTTAGGAGTTGGGAATCTCCTTCGGGGAGGGGTAGGCTATGTGCACTTCCAGCCCTTCTCCTGACCCGGCTCCTCCAGCTGGAGGCTCCATTCCACCTCTGTGCACATGCGCCGACCTGCAATCTCAGAAGCTGTAAACCAGGCCTTCAGAAACCCTCCAACGCCAACAAGAAGAATGGCTTCCCGAACAATCAGCTACTTATTTCATTTGTGGTCGTGGCTGCTCTGTGGGTTTGGATAGCTGCTTCCTGAACACAGGCTCCTCACAGGGCCTGGTGCTTTGCATCCGGCTTTGTTGTGCAGTGGGTTCTGGCGTGTTTACTGTGTAGCCTGGCTTCTTGCCGAGTCTGGGGTGGGCCTTGAGTGCAGCCTTTCTGGTATGTTCACTCCACGGAAGCCAGCTGGTCTCTTGATTGACAGGAGAGTGTTGCTCAGAGGCCAGTCCTCCAAACTGGAAAACAGACCCCAGCTGAGGGTGAACTCTCAGATTTATTTAAAGATTCTATGTTCTTTTATGAGTGTTTTGCCTGCATGCAAGTAAGTGCACCATGTGCATGCCTGGTGCCTGTGGTGGCCAGAAGGTGGTACTGGATCCTCTGGAACTGGACTTAAGGATGGGTATTAGTTACCATGTCGGTGCTGGGAACTGAATGTGGGTCCTTTGCAAGAGCAGCCAGTGCTCTTAACTGCTGAGCCATCTCTCCAGCCTCATTAGCTCAGGTCTTGACTTTACAAAGACTCTTCCAGCGAGGGTGACTGAGAGCAGAAATGGCCACAAGGCATTTCTCCCCAGGCTTCCAGTCTGTGCATCTGAATGTGGAGTGTTGAGATGTCTGGGAGCAGGCTTTACCCTGTCCACAGGGGACAACAGAGTCATTGATCTGAGGCCGCCTTTGGCCTGCCTCCACGAAGGACAGGTACACAGCATTTCCTGCCATATCCTGGTCTATCTACACCTCTGTGCATGTGACTCCAGAGTCTAGCAACACCTTGTGTACTCATGAACCATTCCAAGCTGCATCCTGAGTGTCTGATTCACAAAGTTCAAGGGCAAAAGATTTCAGAAATGCTATGTCCTTTGTAGGTTTCCAGTGGAAGTCTTGTAGGAGACCCCCAAACAGAGCAGTGAGTCTAAGACAAGAGGTGGCCCTCTCTGGCTTTGGCTCTCTGGAGGTTGGTTAAGCAGCGTGGAGCTCTGCTAAGCAATACCTCTTGATATCCCTCTCCATATTCCTAGGAACTGACCAGAACCCTCCTAGGGGTCAGTAGAGCCTCCTTACTGTTTGACCATGTGGGGAGACAGAAGACTAGTCTTGGTTGTCAGTTGGAACCGGGGACTGTAAGTAGGCAGCATTAGTGTGAACCAATAAGCATTGTTTATGTCACAAAGTGTCCATATCAGATTTGTGTGACAGGAAACTGAGGCTCCCTGAGAAGTCATGTGAGAATTTTACAGACTTACTGCCACAGGGCTTTCATTCTAGAAGCTTCCAAAGTTAGTACCCTAACTCTACTCTGAGGACATCTTGAAGATCTTTCAAATTTGGGAAGCCTTACATGGAACTCCCTGGGGCCAACTCCTGGATGATGAGGCTCCCCAGTTCTGAAGAGGGGGATGCACCTATGTCTGGAAGGCAGAGTTGGTTCAAACCTGAAATAGGCTCTTTAGGAACCAGTGGCTTTGCAGGCAGCTGCTCTCTTCTTTCTCTGCCTCAGTAACTTGATCTGAGAATGGGAATCCCACTCATCCCTGGAGCCCACTGAGAGGCTGCAATTGAGCTGCCTGGCTCTCACCATACAAAGGGATGGATGGGGGATTGGAGGACCAGAGTTGAGTGTTAGGCCTCAGTTGGATTGAGAGAGGCCCTTCCTCCAGCTTCATGCCTCTGACTTCCACCAACAGCAGGTGAGAAATTTCATGACAAGCAGGAAAGTTGTGTCTCTGCATATACCACCTCAGTGCGGGGCATTGCGTTTCTGGTGTGACACACCCTCCTTGGCACCAGCTTTTGAATCTAGTGAGGCAGACCGGGCGAGGCCTCCTGACCACAGCACTAAGTGGTTTGGTGCTCTGGCCAGGTGTTAAAGGCTTGATCCCTGTGCTTTCTAGTCCAGGATGTGACCTCGAACCTGTGCAGGCTGTTGCTTCCTCTTCAGGGCCAGCCTAGCTTGGTGTTGTGGGAATACAGTGAGACCATCTCAGCCATGCAGCATTGCCAAGCTGTTTTTCTAAGGGCAGCAATGGAGAGAGGGGAGCCATGTGTTCTAAGTTACAGTAACGCTACTTCTGCTATCCAGTTGGGACCCACCCTGGAGGCTGAGGCCAGGCAGCAACAATAGAATTATTTAGTCTCTGTCCTAGAGTAGATCTAGAAGCATATTTATAGAGCCTGGACATAGATTGTGAGCAAACTGTCACCACATCCTAAGCTTAGCCATCCACATCTCCCATGGTAGGAACTAGTCTGGGGATCCATCAGTCAGGTGCCTGCGGCCTGGGTTTGATCTCTGGCACCGCATAACGCAGGCATGCTGGCTGGTGCAGCCTGTAATCTCTCTTGGGAGGTGGAGGTAGGAGGATCAGAAGTACAGGGTCATCCTCAGATTCACAGTGAGTTGGAGAGGAGGCACATGGAGATTGGGAAGATCCAGGCACTGACTTGAGCTGTGCAGTGGACACCCTGTCTTAACTATGCAGTTCAGGGTATTGACTGAGCTAAAACCCTAATGTGGCCGTTGTATGGGTAGGATAACACTTTAACACCAGAAGGAACACCTGAAAACATCTGCTCTGCTTCAGAGAGGGGCTATCACAGTATAGGGGCTGCCTCAGGCTCCTGCACTGCTGGAAAGCAGGCACCTTTGTCTTAGGAGAGGCCAGGAAAGGTCCTCACATCACTTACCCCCGCCCCGCAATATGAACGGCTGAGGAGATGAGGTAGGTGTCTAGCACCAGGTCAACCTGAAACCAACTCCACCCCAATCTGGTTGGAAGTTCAAGCTTGTCATTTCTGAAAAGAGCTCCTGAGAGCATCCTGCCCTCAAACATGAGGCTTCAGGGAATTCCCATCTCTCCTTCAAAGCAGATTCAAGTTTTCTGCTCCATCACCCCCACCACTTCCCCCATGAGAAATGGAACCCAGAGTGTTCAGAGGCCTCAGAGACCCAAAACTGTTTGCATCAAAGAGGACTTGGGCCTTACAAGTAGCCTTCAGAAAAGACAGGGAAGGTGAAGGCTCAGAGCTATGAGTGGTGGACAGATTGAACGACAGGAAAGCTCACTCTAATGGAAGAGAAAATACTGTAGACAGGCTCATGAAACAATGGCTCTGGCTTCAGTCTCTTTGGATGTCTCCATTGCTCTGAGCAGCAAGAGGCTGTGAAGAGAGTAATGTTCAGGTTATGGATAAACAGGAAGAAAATGCTCAGCCTTAGGAATGCAGGTCACCACTGAGGTGGAGGCCGCAGTAAGAAGGGATTTGCAGTAGATGGACCACTGGTGGGATTCTGATCTTCTTTAGACTTGAGTGGAAGCCAGCTTTATTTTACCTCTGTGATTGACCACAGAGACTGCAGCGAGGGGCCTCTGGTGTGGCTTAAAGACACACACAGCCTCCTTACGTTGCTAATACATTCTGACCTCAGAGAGTCCCACTCATCCCCAGTTTTTTGCACGAGTGATGCTGACCCAGGTTGTTGGTTCATTCCAATATAGAAACTAACATGATATAGAATTTGGCCTTAGATTGCAATCTGAGGGTTAAGGTCTCTCCTGGGTTCAGAGTGGCTGGAAATAAGTTACAAGTGTGCTAGAATTCAAAGGTGACTTCCTATTTTCTTCTCAAAAATGGTTTTGCACATCTTTTTCAGAGCTGATAGACACACACCTTAGCTGGATACAAAACATATTATGAAACAGAGTGACTGTGATCTTTGATCCAAGAAATCAGAGTGAAAGGTAATCAATTCTTCTGCTATTCCTTGGGTTCATCAGCTGTGTGCTTGCTTACCTGGAATTCACTTTTAAGTCAAAGAGAACGCCACGACCCCAATGTCCTCTGTTGCCAAGAATCCTCACAGACGCTGTTTCCAGCTATTACAGGCTGGGCTCCCCAACTTCTGAAGTGGGCAGCCCCTGGATTCTCAGCCTGTGAGGTGGGGGTGGAGAGAAGAGGGGTGAGGGCTCAAGGGCTTGCATGCTATCCAGGGGGACCCCAGCATTCTGCAGGACTGACTTGTGGGGTCAGAAGCTTGTCACTTGCTTCTTTTTGCTCTTGGATAGCACTGTATGTGTACCTGCTGTCCACCAGGAGTCAGGGCTCTGCATTAAGTAGGGCAGACACCTAAGCAGCTTGCAGGAAATGCCCGTCTCAATCTCACGGCTCAGGGTTCTGGCCCCTCCTGCACCTTGTCATGATGTTGGACATTGATTTGTACTGACCTGGCCCATGACCCAGGGTAAGAGTGTGGCTTTCACACCCTGCTCAGCTTTAGCCTCTGGGGCTGCACAGTCAGGAAGGAGCAAGCTTGAAGGCCCTTTAGTGATATAGTCCCCAGGGAATAGGAAGAAGGAACTTTTCTGAGCCTTGCCTTCTGGTATCCTTTATTGCTATGTAATCTACTGAACTTTGCAACTAGCACCAATGAACTCCAAGGTGCCCCCAGCCAATTAAGCTGGTACTGTTTGGGCATGTGGCCCAGGCTTGCTGGGTCATAGCTGGCTTCCCAATACTCTTGGCTCAGTGAAAGCAGGTCTCTTAACCTCACAGGCCAGGTCCAGAAGTCCTTGCAAAATCACACTGAAATCCTAGTAAACATAGTGGTCAGAAGCCATGCCCACAATGTGTACAGCTGAGCTGGTTGCTCAGACCCCCGTCTCCTAGAAGACAAGGGTGGAAGGCACCCCAACATCTGAATGAACCCTATATGGGAAGGCTGGTGCTTGGCCCATCCCCTGCAGGGATTCTCAGTGCTGTCATAGTCAAGGACACCAATCACACCAGTGATCTCTTGCTGAGCACCTGCCATGGCCTGGGAATAAGAATGATAAAAATGTGAGATGGTCATGTTGAGAGCTAAGTTCCTTACAGGGTGTCATTAAAGGATAGCACTTTGTTCCATGCTCCGTAGCCATCAACCTACACATCATCCATCACAGCCCAGGGCTTCGAGCTACAGGCCCATCATGGGAGTTCTGTTTTCACTGAACCTGTATGATCAGGCCTGGCTATATTCTTCCAGAAAATTCTCTTCTAGGGCTCTTATGTGTCCAGAGCCCAGGGAAGAAGCAAGGCAGAGGAATTTTGGAGTAGAGAAAGAACAGCTCCATAGCTGTGTCGTCAGATAACATCTCTGGGTTGTGAGTGACCAGAGGGCCCAGTCCTTCAGGCTAGAGCTGTTAACTTGGCTTAGAGAAGATTCCCCAGGAGCAGGTAAACAAAAAGAACATAAGGTTTCCTCCTGACCTGGGGTACAACAGAGCCCCGGGATTCTTTGATTTGGTCTAGAATGCAGTCTCCCCCTTCCTGTCCTGGCTACAGGAGGGTGTTTCTGGCCACGGTCTGGCCAGACTGTGGGGTGAGCTTGGGAAGAGAATCAGTGCACCTCTGCCTTTTATTCTCGCTGAAGTTCCTACAGTTAAGGGCAGATGGTCTGTAGGAAGAACACTCCAAGAGTCCCCTGCTTTGTACCTCTGGATAGGGGTGACCCCCATCTGTAATCTATCTTCAGCAAGCTGAAGTTTGAGAGCCTGGTGCTCTGATAAACATAGGAAGCCTGCATGTAGATACCTGAACTTTCAAAGAAATTGCAGGGCAGAGTGAGACATACCAGAGGTCAGTTCTAGTGTTTGGAACTTAACCACTACACCAGCCCAGACACATTTCTTGAGCAGTATTATTAGAGGGTCTGACTCCCCCAAATTGCTACACCCTAAAGTAGGCAGAGAAAATATCCTACTTTTTTTTTTTTTTTTTGGATCTCTGCCCTTGACAAACTGTGGTGCTGAGGCCTAATCTGGCTTCTAGACTTTTTAAATCCTTCTTTTTTTTTTTTTTTTTGGATCTCTGCCATTGACAAACTGTGGTGCTGAGGCCTAATCTGGCTTCTAGACTTTTTAAATGAAGTTATATTGGAATACATTCATATCCACTTGCTTACCTATTGCTTCTTTAATAACAGTGAAGCCCCAGCACCCACAAGACTGAAAAGATTGCCTACCCCTTTACAAGGTCCTTTTGGCCAGTGGCCCAGCTTTGCTGTATGTTTGCAGCCATTTTTGTTGATTATGGAGTTGTAGCACCTCTTTGTGTGAATGACTATCAATTACATTGAAATTATACCATAATTTTGATGCATTTAAAATCTGCCCATCTTTGTTTCCCAGTGCCAGCCTTAGGGGTCAGGTTTAGAGTCATCCCGAGGTTACAGACACCTTTACCCTCAGTCCTGTCGCTAAGGATGATGGGGGTCAGGTGCACTGTGGACTGTATCTCACCCCCATCCTGGTCTGAGAATGTGGCACTAGCTCAGGCAAATCACCCGCCTCAACCCCTGTCCACTGTAACTCAGAGCCTTTTCCTAACCATGCACAAAGGCCAGTAATGATCCTGAGTCCCCAGAAGGAAAGAGGTGAATACCGAACCTCAAAGACCAGGCTTTGGCCAGTAGAGTAAGCAGGTTGATACAGTCAGCTTTGGATCCAATTCTAATCCCTTTTTACTGCCTGTTTCTACTGTGTCTATTAACAGTGTGATCATTTTCTTTGGGTTTAGGTGAGAATTAGTAGTCCCCCTGCCCTGCACCGGGTTGCCGGGCCCATCCTCAGAAAATGTGCATGGTTTATTTTTTTGTGGATAAAGTGTCCGGGTCTGTAATACCCATCCAGTTTTCCATCTAAGAGAAAACCAGGTCCCTTAAACTGAATGAGCTATGCTGATAGTATATGCATTAAGCACCTGCTGTGTGCATAGTTCTATGCATGGTACAATCCAGGAGATTTAGACTGCAATACTGGCTTTTAGGGGAAGTGAGGCTAAATGTGGTGCAGGAACCAGGACAGATAGGGAGTTAGTTCTAGACAGAGGGTGGTAGAGCTCTGTGAAGACATGCTCATGGCTTAGGGTTAGAAGAGGCGGTAGTTGGCAGAAAGGAAATGCTCAAATGATTTGTTGGATGAATAAGAGGGGATCAGACTCAGACCTCTGAGTCACCCTTGGAGCCACACCCAACTCTGACAGTGGGACCTATAGTATCTGTAGCCTTTCTGAGCTCTGTATCTTCTGTGCAATTACTGAGTATTTCCAATATCCTGGGGCATAGGATGCAGCCAGGCACGCGAGCACACACAGCAGTAGTGAGTTGCCAGGAAGGGAGGGTGAAGGGAGAACCAGAATGCCCAGCATCCCCAGATGCGAAGAGTCTGTGCCCAAGCCATGGGTGTTGTGGGTGGAGGGTAAACGCTTAGAAAAGGCAGGAACAGCATGAGCCTAGGAGGGACAGAGTCTTGGAGGTGTTGTGAATTGGCAGAATGGAGGTGGGGGGCAGATGAAGGGCAGGGTACACAGGAAGGCAGGAGTGAGGTCACACAGGGACCATCACAGGATCACAGGATCCTAACGGGAAATTCCAGAAAGCAAGTGAGGGGTTGGCTCAGCGCAGGAGTTTTAGATACAAGAGAGCTTAAATGTAATGAGAGATGGAGTAAGGAAGATAGAGGGAGGACGTGGTGGCCAAGCTGGATTCCCTCCTTAAAGGAGGAAAGATAAAAGGTGAAAATCCTGGCAGGCGTCATGGGCTCCATCCAAAGGGCAGCAGGCTCTCCTCACCTCCACCCCAGTGCTGCCCCCGCCTCAGAAGGGTCATTTGGACAGAGCATCTGGGTAGAGAGCCCAGAACTTGGAACCCAAGCTTTTAGCTCAATGTAGCACCATGCAGTTACCATCCTCTGCATGGTATGTCTGTTCTAGAACTTTCTCTCCATCTGCCTCCAGGGGTGCAAAATGAGATTTTTAGAAAGAAGAATTCCTTCCCAGAGAGGTTGAACCCACCACTCAACAATGTAAAGATCTAAAAGGGAAGCATTGCTGAATTTTCTAGGTGTGCTTGGAAGGGAGCTTGAAGCCAGTAGGAAACATTCCACACAGAGAAAAGGGGACACCATCTCTGTCTGCTGGAGAGATCACCCAGCCTCCCAGCCCAGCCTTAGCCCTGCACTCTCCAGAGGGAGGTGACCCTTGGTGAGGGCCCACAATGCCCACAGCAATACCTACCAGCTATTTTTAGAAAGCCCAGGCTGTGGAAAGTTTCCATAAGGGATTGACCACTGCAAGGCTAAGAAAACAGGAAAGCCTTTGGAACCTGGGCTCTGAAAAGCTGCACTGACACTGCCCAGCCCCCAGCATTCAGCATTTTACTCCATCCATAAAGAGCCGGCAGTTTATCAGCCCCCGGCAGGGCTGCATGGGCGGCACTGGGACTGGATCCTTCTTTTAACTTCCCATTTCAGGCCTTGCAGAGTCAGCAGGTACCTGGAACACAATACCTGCCTACTTACAGCTGACTGTATGAGTCCACCCCCTGGGGTCCCATGAACAGAGCCATTTCCACACCTTGGAAGTGTTTGTTACACTAAGCTTCCTAGACATATAGGACCATGATCTCACACTCTGGTCCTCCAAGCCAACATCTGCTTTATGCTGGGCACTGCTATCTTTGACTTGCTTTATCTCATCCAAGCTCAACAACCTTAGGAGACAGTAATGTGTTTGGACCCAGTTTATAGATGGAAAAATGGAGGCACAGTATGGTTATGTCACTACAGCAAGGCTCACAATCAAGGACAGAGGTGGTATTTCTGATCCTGGTTCTCTGACCCTAGAACTTCCCACTCTCACATAAAGCTGTCAGCATGTGCCTGTGTGACAGTGAGCTGAGCCTGACCTTCTGCAAAGCTCTAACCTTAATGACTAACAGCTGTTCGAACACCATGCACCAGGCTCAGGATTGGTGCCTCCCATGTTTAGCACCCTCACAACAACCCTAAAAGTCCAAGTGTCCGCACATACCTATAATCCCAGCAGAATAGAGGATTGGCCAGCCTGGCCTGGTCTATGCAGTGAGCTTTAAGTCAGCTAGGGCTACATATCAAGATCCTGTGTCAAAACAATCAAAAACAGATGGGCGTGGTGGTGCACACCTTTAACCCCAGCATTTGGGAGGCAGAGACAGGCAGATCTCTGTGAGTTAAAGATCAGCCTGGTCTACATAGTGAGTTCCACACCAGCTGGGGCTACAGGGAGACCCTGTTTCAAAAAAGACAAAAAAAAAAAAAAAAAAAAAAACAAACCCAAAACAAAAAACCCACAGAACTGGAAAGATGGTTTAGTGGATAAAGACACTGCCAAGCCTGACGGCCTGATCGATTCCTGGAACCCACATGGTGGAAGGAGGGAACGGACTCTTGCAGGTTGTCTTCTGACCTCCACATACATGCTGTGATACACCCCCAACACAGAAGACAAATATATGTTTAAAAAAAAAAAAATCTAAGAGAGATGGTTCAGCAGTTAAGAGCACTGACTGCTCTTGCAGAGGACCCGAGTTCCCAGCACCCACATGGAGGCTAAGAACCATCCATAATTCCAGTTCCAGGGGATCCTATGCCCTCTTCTGACCTCCACGGGCACTGCATGACATGAATACACTTACATACATGCAGGCAATATACATGTAAAATTTTTTAAAACCTAAGAGGAGGGCCTGGAGAGATGGATCAGTGATTAAGAGCACTGATTGCTCTTTCAGAGGACCTGGGTTTGATTCCCAGTACCCACTGGTAGCTAACAATCATCCATAATTCCAGTTCCAGGGGAATCTGACACCCTTGCCTGACCACCACAGGCATTACACGACACAGGTACACACTTACATGCAGGCAATACACTCCTACACATAGAGTATTTTTTAAAATCTAAAAGGAATAGTAAGAGGAAATCACATTGCTATGATTTCCACTTTAAAGATAGGGAAACTGAGGCACAGCAGTCAAGTCCCACAGCCAGTTGGGGGGGGGATGGTTGAGAGGCAAACCTGACTTAACCTGCTCTTTAAAATTATGACAACGAAAATCCTCCTTGTTATGGAGTCACAGACTCATCCAGGCAAGGGGCTTCTAGGAAGAAGCATCCAGACCTCAGAGAGCCCAGCTTGAGAGGGGAGGGGCTTGGGCAGCCTTCAATGTCAAGTTTCCATGTCTAGCACTTCAAAAAACCAGCTCAGATGAGAAACTGTGGAGGTTATGGGGAGAGACCCCTCTTCCACCACAGGACCAGTGGACAGCATTCCACTGAAGATGCACACCTGCTTTAGAGACACTCTGCAGCCTCCCATGTGAGCTGGAGCTCAGAGCAGCTAATTAAGGGCTGCTGAAGGAAGCCTGTGGCCAGACCTGCTGTGCTAAGATCTCCCCGCCCCATTCCAGCAACTCACCTTAGATGAGCTACCAGTTGGCAGAGCCTAGCTAGCTTCTCCATGCCAGGGGCTGGCACCATGCCCATGGTTTCCATTAGCAATCCATACATACTTACCAGGGAAGGTGACATGACATCCCAAGCCCCCTGAGGATCCCCTCCTCTCCTGAAGCAGGATCTTTGAGTCATGGAGGATATCTGGTTATGCTGGAAAAAAAAAAAAAAATAGAACTCTCATTTAAGTGAATGGCCAGTTAGCTTTGACTATGAAGTCTCCTGGTCCCCCATCACTCTTGCTGCCTTTTTAAGGGCTCCTGTTTTTTTTTTTTTTTAAATCAGATGTTGTATGGTTGTACATGCTAGGTGCTTTTGTGGACGTGTTAATCACCGAGGCAGTTTGGTAGACAGAGGGGCTCAAGTGCATAAATTAACAGATAGAAACGCAAGGCTGCCATGTGAGCAGTTTTCACTCACAGATCTATAGTGCAAGGCAGTGTGCTTGGGGGAGATGGGGAGGCAGTGACATGACTACATATTTAAACTGTCAAATGTGTTATCACAAGAAACATGTGTTTTAAAGAGTAGCTAGACTGTGGTTCTAACCTGATGCTTGATTTGATGGCATCTCATGTGCCTCTTTTTAAATATTCTTTTTTTCTCTCTCTCCTAGTTAATGAAATCATTAGAAAGGAGTTTTCAGGACCTCCTCCCAGAAATGAAACATAGATGCCACCTTGATAGCCAAGTGCATTCCATACCTGGATCCCCCCGACAGTTCCCCTTCCGTCTCCGACCATCTCCAACTGGAACAGTGTGTGTGGGCACAATACCGGCTGGTGGTATAGAAGTCCACCGTCTCTCTAAAGTGCATTTCAGCTGATGTTCCTGGTGCCTGGATGAAACAGCAAGTTTTTGCCTGTTGACCAAAGCCACATTCTGAACGTGACAGGATGCCCCAGCTTGCCTGAGCCCTGGGGGACAGGCTAGAAAACAGAACTGGAGGTGCTGTGATTAAGCTGCAGCCCTGTGTTCATTTTCCCAGCTCACAGACATGGATCCTCACCCTTGTGAAGAAGGGTTTTCAAATAGAGCAACCAAAAAGAACATGGCCCAAGAGTCTGATTCATGGACTCAAGATCCCCAAATCTCTGTAGGGAGTGAAACTGGACCGTTCTCCATGCCCCAGCTGGGCCACAGCAAAAGCTTTATTTTGAAATTTTCTCTTTCCAAAGCCAAACTGCCTTGCCCAGACAAGATCACCTTTTGAAACTTCTCAGTGTTAAGTTATAACATGTATCTGTTTTCTGCTGTTTTTTTTTTTTTCTCTCTCTCTCTCTCTGCTTCAAGGAGCCAGCCAAAGAGGCTGCAGGCTGAATTCCCTCAGCCAGCTACTCTCTAACCCTGTTGCCCATGCCAGAGCTAACGCAGTGTCCAGGACTTGGGGGAGCCAGCCCAGGCTGCCCACGGAGGGGACCTGCTAGGCTACATCTTTTGCACTGGCTACTTCCTAATGCTCTGCTTCCCTGCCCTCCTCCCAGCAGAGCCTCCTCCACTAAGGAGCGGAGGAAGAACTGCAGGTCCTTCCATTGACTGTTGAGGAACCACAGAAGGGCTAACCCAAACCAAGCAAAACCTGTAGGTGCTTCTGTTAAAATGCCTCTGTGTGATTCCCATCAAAATGAAGCTAACGGGCTGAAATCTCCCTCTGCCCTAAATTTGAAACAGGGAAGTACAAGCTTTGCCCTCACTGTTCTGACTTTAACCCCAGTTCATTGAAAGCCCCCATCAGCCTCAAAGTACTATCTCTGTAAGTTGCAGATCTAACCCAGTGCATGCTTTAGCATGAGCAAGCTCCACTCAACCTACAGAATTCTCTGCGCTGTTTCTCTGCCCCAGGCACACTGCAGTTCTCCACAGTCTTCCTTCCCTGGTGCAATTTTTTCCCCCTTTTTTCCAGCAAAGCCTTCAGACTTGTGAGCAGGAGACTTTTTATCACACAAATGTGTTTCTGCTAACTTTTTCCGCAAACACTCCTGTGCAAGTTGGGCCCTCTTCCAGCTGTTTTCCCAGGAATCACACCAAGTAGGAGTGTCCTCCTCATTTGTGTATAGAAAGCCTGCACGCAGAGCAGAAGACCTGAAAAGCAAGCCATGACCGCTAGCTACCCTCACTGGCCTTCTTGTCAAGGTTCTCTCAAGGCAAGCCTTCCTGAGAGCTGAACCAGGTGTGGCTGGCCCTCCAGACAGAGGAGCCACGGGCACAATTTAGCCCGAGCAGGAAAAACTTGTGTAACTGCTTAATCAATATCTAATGTTTCTTTTCCCTACAAGCACTGGACTTCTCCTCCACCTATCCCAACCATAGACCTGAGCAAAATTCTTTTAAACACACAGAATGTCTCTAAGAAGTGGAGCGCTCTGCAGGCCAAATGCTTTTAACAAAGAAGGTCCCCTCTACTGGTAGCTCTATGGACAGGGTTTTCTCCCCAACAATACTGACTTACACTATACTGACTTCTCTGGGGAAGGAGAATGAGGGTTTGGTGGACCATTGGTCTTCACGTGCCCTGGCTGTCAGCTACTTTTTGCACACGATGAAATCAGGCCTTCCTCAGATATCTGAACACTTTACCCAAGTGCCTTCCTGCTCTGGTGGCCAAGTGACTTGGCTTCAATGTTCATTGAGTGAAAAGGGGCTAATGCATTTTCCTTCAGCTGCTCCCCATGTGAGCCGAAAGGCTTCCCAGTAGCTGGGACTCCTGGACCTTGATGTGCGCATGTGTGAACCATGCAAATCACCATCCCTGTCTCTAAGACATCTTAGCCAGATAGTCTAGGAAGCACTTTCATAAACAACTATACCAAATAACCAAGGAAAGAAAATAGCATTTGTTTTAAGACAAAGAGGCCAGAGAAAGTGTTTGGGAACCGACAGCGATCAAGAAAGTTTAGTCAGTGACAGATGGTGGGAGGACACGTCACTGGGAGAGATTGCTTATGAACTATTTCCAGGATGGGAAGAGACAGTTGGATGCCTGGATAGGAAAGATGAGTGTGTCACGTGTGGGTCAAAAGGGTCGAAGCTGAACTGTGTGCTTGTTACATCCACAGTGACATTGATGGAGCGAGCATCCTGGCACCCTGACAGCTCCATTTTACTGAATGTAATCCATCTATAAATTCTGCACCTCTTTCTGGACTGTACAAAGATACTGCTGCTTGCTAATATATAGCAACCCAAATTAGTGTGCTATTAAATTTTATTTTCTTACCTGTATTTTTATGCTTTTTACCTGCCCTCAAAATATCGTACCGCTGTTGGGAGTTTAGAAAATATTTATAAATGGTCAGAAATCTAAGTGTCTCTTTTTACACACACACACACACACACACACACACACACACACACACACACACACACACACACACACACACGGTGAAGGGCAAGAAAGATGGCTCACCAGTTAGGAGCACCTGCTGCTCTTGCACAGATTTTTCTGCAAGAGAAATGGTATATTCTTGACATTTCTTTTCATTAATCATTCCAGGAAGCAAAAGGACCCACCTTGGGACCCATCGGGCACCTGACTAGAAGACGGGGCCTCAGGATAAGAGGGAAGGGGACTTTGTGGAGGAAGAGAGTATCTTTTTCTTGAGAAAGATGCTTACTCTTTCAGCCTTGAGCCTGGGTTGTCACCGAGAATAATTGTAAGCGAATGGTCTAGTTAGTGGTTTTGATTTAAGGCACAGAACCCTGTCTTTTTATGGACTTTGTGAGTTCCTACTGACAAGATCCTATGGGCAGGCTGATACTGGCAGAGCCAACTACATAGAATCCTGGCAGGTGACCCCATATGCATTATCCAAAGGACCACTTTTTTTTTTTCCAGTATAGGGTAACAATGGATGAACTGAGCAGGTTCCTTGCAAGAACTGGGACATTGTGTTCATATCCAGTAGCTGGGCAATCCATCGTGACCAGCCAGCTTTAGCCACTGCTACACTGTACCCTGGCCAGGTCAGAAGCCAATGTGCTCTGATTGTCATTCTGAACCAAAAGGAGGCTGAGTAGGTTTCTTTTCACACCACAGTGCCTCAGCATTGACAGCGTCAGGGGACCACTTCACAACTGTGTTCATTTGGCATTTTACAAGAGGCACAAGGATGGCGGAGCTAGGGTAGCCATCTTGAATTCATTGCTGGAGGGGCAGCCTTTCAAGGACCTGACAAGTCTTCACCTTGGTGGTGGTGGTGGGGGGCGTCTCTAAACCTAGAGCATCAAGCCACCTGAACGTAAACCAGCCTACTGAACAGCAAGTGTTTTCCTGTGACCCCACTAAGTGCTTAAGAACAGCAGTATCGTGTTCTACATGACCAACTTTTCTCAGCTTTTCCAGTGCCTTGACTGACAGCTGCCATTGCTGTCTTAATTCAGTTTACAAATTAACTCTGGCAATAGACAAGAGAATGCTTGCCTGAGCAGGCCTCCTGGATATCACAGTGGGATCCTGGGAGCTAGGAGGGAAAGAGTTAACACTGTCTCTACACAGCCCTGGGGCAGACCAGGATAACTGCCCTGCTGGTTCAGGGTTTGGATGGACTGGGTACAGATGATGCTGTTGCCATGGGAGCAGGAGTCCCAGCATTCTAACTGGCCTGAGCAGACACGTCTATGGGATCATGAGTCTAGCATCTAGGATAACTTATCAGAGACACTCTCTTGCCCCATCACCTCTGCAGCTCTCAGAGGGGGAAACAATGCAAAGCCCACCCAATTCTCCAGCGACTGTAGGCTGCTCCAGCTGTGCCAGGAGGCCTGGGTTTGGAAAAATCCTGACTGACAAGAAGTTGGACTACATCGCATTCCTATGCAAAACGTTTTTAATCTCCAATTCTACGTAGTTTATTTTTGCTATATGTAAAGTATTTTTATACAGCTTCTATTATGACAGCTTAGCAATAAACAGTTGAAAGCAACTGCTCTTGGGGTGTGTCTTTGCTTCTCTGGGGAGGGGCTGGAGCATCCTGCTTTCTTTTGGGGTTCAGACAGCAAGGAATATTTTTTTGTGTGCACACAGCAGCAGTGTCTAGAGGTAAGGCACTGTCCCGAGTTGCAGGCACAGTGGGGCTCAGGAACGCTTGTCTAAGGCAATGGAAGCACAAGGTCAAGTCCAGTCTGTTCCAGCCTCTCCACCACAGCTCCACTGCAATCTGCCTCTGTGGCCCTCTTTTGTGGGCCACACTTTAGAACAGATCATGAAGTCAGCCTTAGGTCACTTCCAGGAAGTCTCAGAGTACCTGAAATCATTTGGAACAAGAGGGAGGGGCTCTGTTTGAACATCTAGCAAATACCCAAAGGAGAAAGGCAGCATTTTTTACCATCAAGCTCCAAACAATTAGATACTTCAAGTTCCAGATCCTTCTAGCTACCTCCCTTCTCAGGATAGCTTTTCTCTTCCCAGAGCTAAAGCACCCAAGAAATGGAGAAAGAACTGCTGTTTCTCAAGTCTTAATATTAGTCAAACTTCCATTCTTGAGAGCTACTTCTAAGCCTCAGGGCCTGTGTCTCAGGGACACATTCTACCCAACCAAGGCTCTGGAATCTCTCTCTCTCTCTCTCTCTCTCACTCACACACACACACACACACACACAAAACCAATGCCTGCAGGACCACATGGGTGACCACATGGGCAGCTGTCCCAAACCCTGACAGGACCCTGCATGGGATCCAGTGTTTGGAAACACCTACCCTGAAATGGCCTCAGATCCCTCTGGTGGTTGGAACCAGAAGTGCCCAAAGAGTTCTACGACCTGCCCCTAGAGGTTCCAAGTCAGATTCCAAGTGTCTGGTGAGCATGTGGCTTCAGATATCTGGTGTGGATTTTATTTTTGTAGGACCCTATGAAGGAGACCAACAGAATGGTACTAACATACTCAATAATGACTACAATTGCTTCTGTGAGCAATACATTTGCCCCCGCCCCACACACATGCACAGAGAGAGACACACACAGTGCCTGCCCAGGGCTACACACCCTGTGGTAGCTCTCCTACGATGCTTGCTTTTACCTCTGAAACCCTTCCATCCATCCCTTTTCCTGAAGACAGAAGATCATGCATCCATCTTCTACATCTCCATGCAAACTTCATTTTGTAAATATAAATTTGGCCCATGCCTCAGTTTCCCTTGATGCAAAAAGAGGACATTAGTTCCCACCTCCCTGGCATAGTGTTTGATACATAGTAGTTTATATTTGTTAGCCATACTGTTTAGCATCGTTGAATAGATTTTAGACTTGTCAAGGTTCGTTGTTGAACCCTGAGCTCTTGCAGAGACCTCATTTCCCCAACATTTGAAAGAACATTCTGAGCGTATATAATGGAGTTTGGGTTTCTCTACCTAGATCAGAGCCAGAAATTTGAGTCTGACCAGTTTTCAAAATCCCCAAATGCAAAGGAGATACACACACCAAATCATAGTGGGGTGACTTGTCCAGGAGTCTGCAAGTCTGAAAAAGTCCCTATGCCATGTGCTGCAGTGGGGTACAGTTTTGTACTAGGAAGGAAAGTAGAATACTGGGTTGGCCACAAGTGAGAACTTCAGAAGGTTAGGGGAGAAAAGAGGGCAGGTGCTGTGCAGCCTCTTTGGGGTCATAAACCAGAAGGAAACTTACAGAACCAGGCTGAGTCTGAACTAACACCCAGACCTAGAACCACAAGAACCATTAAGAAATGAAAGTAAAGGCCACAGCTGTGAAGGGGAGAGGGACCTGGGCTATAAAACCTCATGACATTTTGTGGTACAAACATAAACAAGGTTGGACCAAACTTTTTCCCCAAACAGCTTCTTTCTGAACTCTCCTGCCCCCGTCTCCTGCTAATGCTCAAAAACAATTGCACGGCCCAATGTAAAGGGATCTCCAAAAAGATGGCCCTTTTCCACAATTGCTGGTTTCAGCTACTCCAAGAACTCCTGCTTCTAGAAAATTCCATGCTCTGAGATAACATGGTACATGATGACGATCAGATGTACTTCCCACAGCCCTGGGCCTTAGCTAGTTTTCAAGGTGGGAGGGTAAACCACCGCTTTCTGTGAGAAATGTACGAAGCCTCCCCGGTGCCTCAGCCAAGGTTTCTGCCCTTCTAGCAGCAGAGTAGACTCCAATGGAGTTGTGTTTTGAAGCCTCTGCTCCCAAGGCCATAGGGCCAGGTTTCCCAGAACCACTTTGGACAGGACTGCACAGACCCCTCTCACACCCTCCAGATGTGTACACACCTGAGTGACTTTGCTGTCATGGCCATGAGGGATTTCTAGCTAACACTCCGGGGATTTCCTGATTCCTAGTCTCCACCCCTTGCTTCCCCACCAACCTATGACGACACTCTTAAACAGTCAGCAACCCAGCAGTCACCCTGAGCCCCCACAACCCTATTCCCCATGTCTATGCCTATCCCCTCCTCACTTTGTGCCCAGTGGGCTTCCCTCACCTGCTAGATGACAGGGTGGCCCCTTGAATTCACTAGTACATTGCACCCACCACCCACTCAAAAGCCAGGCAAAGTTTCAAGACGCTTCAGATCCCATCACGCCTCTTAAATAGAGCATTTCAATGCCCTTAGTGTTTAAAAGGATCTGAACTCCAGACAAGATGTTCAGCCATCTTCCCTGTCTACTCTCTCCACTGACACGGCAGAACTTCCCATTCTTTGTTCCCACTACATCCAGGGCTCTGCTTTTCCTAGTACTGGAAGAGCCCATACTTCCTAATTCTGGAAGCACTTGTGAAGACCTAGCTCTCCTTCCTTCTTCCTCCCTAACCACCAGGACCCAGCAAGGTGGACCCACTGCTCATGGAAACTGATCTGGTTGGGTGCCAACTTGCTCCTTGACTGTGGGTCCCAGGAGGGAAGGGCAGTGCTTGCCTTGACTCAGGTCCCCATCCCCAGGCCCAGCACACAGTAGGACCTTAGTAATTGGGGAGATGAATGAACAGACATGCCCAGCTTCACATGCACAAGAGACAGAGCCATGGAAAAATTAATCACTTCCTAATATTTGACACATTTCTCAAAACCAAACAATGGAATCAAGAGAGGCCTTTCCTCTGCCCCATGCGACTTGGTGTATTCATTTCTGACCACACAGAGCTGTCTTCTGGCAGGAGCCAGCTCCCTTTGCTACAGAAAGCAATACCGATGTGAGTCCCTTGGGCCAGCAAGCTGCCAGGCCGTCACCCGCTCCACAGCCTGCAGTCATCTGTGGCCCTCCAGTTTGTGAAGTGCTCTCTGTTGTATTTCAATGGCTCCTGAGGAACAGGTTAGGAGAGAGCTGCCGGCCAGCTCCTGTTTACAAAACAAATGTGAAACCTAGCCTTCCCCAAGGAGAGAGTTTGACAAGGTGAG